GATTTTTATTTAACTCTAACTTATGCACCACAGGAGAAAGTAGGAACACACCAAAAGAACTCATTCCACCCAATCCCTTCCTAAATAATTATATTTATGGATTACATAATTATATATATTCAAAGTAAATATATAACATTCAAAATTTAGCATGTAAATAGAAAAGTTTTTTTTTAAAAGGAATAAAGGATTCTACTTTTTGTTTGACAAAGTTGCCGAAAAATTGCTCAAAAAAAAAGTAGCTAAGAGTTTCCTTTTAATGTATTGTCCTATTCTATTTATGCATAGGAATAGAATTTAAAATAATTTGATTCCTTCTTGAAATATATATTTTCTTTTAATTAACTTAAGATTTTAGGAATCGAATATATTTTAATTCCTTCTCTAAAACGTACTTTTCTCAATTACTTATGGTAGGAATTTTAGGAATGTGTTTTTCACTTTTCTAAATCAAGGTCCTAAATAAGAAAGTAATTAAATGACTATTTTTAAATATTAGGAAAGTAAATTGAATAATTAATACTATATAAAGAAAATAATAAAATGACTATTTTGTCAAGTGTGAACTCTATTTTAGAGGGTAAATAAGACGAACGATATTTCGCTTAGGGCCTTCGTGCTTTTAATATAATATAGATAATTGATTTGACTTTATTTCTAATTTCTTTCATCATCGGTGGTCTTTTTTATTGAAATATATCTATTTAAACTAAAAAATTTGTCAACTTGAAATTTACTTGTTTATTCATGTTTATTTTTTTAAAATTGTGAAAATAAATAATTGGACTGTTTTACTTAGCTCGTCACTACTGCTCAGTTCCTTATTTATTTCTGTTACTACTGAGGTGGTTGTACTCATACTACACCCTACACTTTATGTGCAGATCCAGGTGAGTTAGAGTGCGGCGATCGTTGAGTTCAGGCCGGCTATTTGTGGAGATTGCAAGGTAGCTGCTAGTCTCCGCAGGACCTTGTTAGTCCTTTTGTCATTTCTTATTTTGGACAGTTAGACAGTTATATTTCTTAGTTCACAGTTTTAGACGCTCATGACTTAGTGACACCCCCATGTTTGGGACTCGTTTCCGTATTTTTCTATATTATATTTAGAGTTGATTTAACTTATGAAAAATTTAAATGTTGAAATATTTTATTAATTTCGTATAATCGATTTAGTAGTAATATTTTGGGAAGTAGGCTTGCCTTATAACACGATAGGCACCATCACGACCATGGTTAGATTTTGGGTCGAGACAGATGCACGACTCTAAACCCGAACCCGGTCGTGATGGCGCCTCTCGTGAAGACAAGGCCAACCAACTAGACCCAATTCACTTGTTAAAGCAGTTAAACAATATAAAAACAGTCTAAAACATGATTTTATTGATAATAAATAGCAGAAATACAATCCGACACAGCCCTAACTGGGGTGTCACAAGTTACGAGCATCTAACAATACTGAATCCTCAAATGTAACTACAGAGTTTTAAATACTGAACTAAGAACATAAAGGAAATAGATAGGGAGGAGCTCCAGGCTGCGAAAGCCAACAGCTACCTAAAGACTCCTCGAAAATCAGTTTGAAGCTGGAATGAATCAGCACTCGGGAGCGGGACCAGCTACGCCTGAATCTGCACACGGCGTGCAGGGAGTAAAGTGAGTACTCCAACTCAGTGAGTAACAAATGTAAATAATGACTGAAAGTAAGAAAACACGTAGGGCACAAGGCATTCTATAATGAAGCAGTAAAATTATTTAAAAACAGTAAACCAGTGAAAATCAAGTAAAAATCCTTTTTCAACAAGTAAACAAGTAATTGACAGGTAATTAATGTAAAGAAAACAAATAGAAGTTCGCCCCTCGGACACTGTATCAACAAATCCGCCCCTCGGACAACGTCTCAAAACAATACCACCTCCTCGGGCTCAATCTCACATCACAATGGGTACCCGTGCTCACTGGGGGTATGCAGACTCCTCGAGGGGCCCTTTACGGCCCGAGCGCAATAACAAGCCATCTCATGGCATCAAATCTAGGCCCTCGGCCTCATATCAATTAAGTCACCTCGTAGCGTACATATCTCAGGCCCTCGGCGTCAAATCAGTATCAGTGTTTCCTCACAATGTAGGCCTCCGGCCTTACTCAATCAAAAATCATCACAAGCCTCTCGGGTAATAGTAAAACAGTGTTTCTCAGCCCAAACATCATTTAAAATATCATTTAAGTCTTAAAACTGAGTAAACATGGTTGAGTAGAAAAACAGTGGACATTAACATGACTGAGTTCAAGTATAAAGTCAAAACAGTGAGGAAATAGTAATAAAAATCCCCGAAGGGTTCAAATAGTTGGCACGAAGCCCAAATATGATATTCAGCCCAAATAATGATGATAGCAATTAGTTTTCAGTCAAATACGCGGTAAAATCATCAAGCGAGACGTACCAAGTCACATCCTCAATAGTGCACGACCCCACGCTCGTCATCAAGTGTGTGCCTCGCCTCAACATAGCACTACGATGTGTAATTCGGGGTTTCAAACCCTCAGAGCATTATTTACAATTATTATTCACCTCGAACCGGCTAAATCTCTAGCTCGCGATGCCTTTTCCCCTCAAATCGGCCTCCACGCGTGTCGAATCTACCCAAAATCAGAACGAGAATGTCAAAATATGCTAAGGAAACGAAGCCCAAGCGAAAACAATCAATAAAAGGCACAAAATTCGAAATTATCAAAACCCGATCCCCGGGCCCACATCTCAAAATTCAGAAATTTTTACATCAATAGATTCTTCATCTCCCCACGAGTCTATACATATCAAGAACATTAAAATCGGAGTCCAAATGACCCCTCAAATCCTCCTTTAAAGGTCTCTTAAACTCAAGCCTTAATCCTCCATTTTTAGCCCTTTAACTCTTTTAATTACAGCCTTAACCCATGAAATACTACCATAAAAATGTGTTTTAGGTCCAAAATCTTTACCTTAACGAAGTCTCCTTGATTTCTCTCTACAAAATCGCCCAAAGCTCCCGAATCCGTGTTCAAAAATGGTGAAAACCTTCAAAAATCGCGAAGAAATCCTTATATACATTCTGCCCAGGGATACCCGCATCTGCGGTCCAAAATCCGCTTCAGCTGTACTGCATATGCGGTCAAATCCTCCGCTTCTGCGGAATTCACTTACGCAGCCTACATCGCATCTGCGACCCAACTTACGCATCTGCGTCTCTGCTCATCTGGTCCTTTTTCGCTTCTGCGATAGATCACCTGGGGACCGCACGTGCGAAAATACCAAAAGCAGCAAATTCAGCTGCTACAACAAAATTCCAACTTCTCCGTTAACCATCCGAAATTACCCCGAGCTCCCCGGGACCTCAACCAAAAGCACAAACATAAACCGAATACCTTATTCAAACTTGTTCCAATCATCAAATCAACCAAAACACCTCGGATTCAAGCTTAAATTTCTAAAATCCTCCAAATTCCGCTTTTGATCAAAAACCTAACCAAACCGCGTCCGAATGACCTGAAATTTTACACACACATCCCAAATGACACGACGGAGCTACTGCAACTCTCGGAATTCTATTCCGACCCCTATATCAAAATCTCGCCTATCAACCGGAATCGCCAAAATATCAACTTCGCTAATTCAAGCCTAAAACTACTCCAATCCTCCAAAACCCATTCTGATCACACTCCTAAGCCATAAATCACCTCCCGAAGCTAACCGAACCATCGGAACTCGCATCCGAGCCCTCTAACACATAAGTCAATATCCTGTTGACTTTTCCAAACTTCCTTAAAAGAGACTAGGTGTCTCAAACCTTACCAAAATCATTCCGGACTCGATCCGACCAATCCGATACCATAAAACACGGATAACGAAGCATAAAGAAGCAGAAATGGGGGAAACGGATACCATGAGACGACTGGCCGGGTCGTCACAATAGAATAAAAATTCTTTTGTCATATTGTAAGAAAATCAAACGAGTGGGAAATAGTTTTGTATATTTAAAGTATTTTAGTATATAAAAGAGTTTCACTTAAATCTAAATATATAAAAAAAAAAGCTACTCCGTCATCTTCCAAGAACGCCGTACGTCCTCTTTCTTTTTTATTGAATTCTTTGTATATGTCCAAAGGGATAAACTTCTAAATACCAAGTGGTTACGTCCTATTTGGTTAATATTTTTAATTCTTTCATTTTCTTGCCATTTATATATAATTTAAGTGTATAAATTTATATAAAATAAAATATTAATATTTTTGTATTTCTAAATATTAATTTTTTTTACCTAATCCAAAAAATGAACAATGTAATATATTAAATTTAGTTGATTTTGTAGTCCTAAATATTAGAAAAATAAATTAATAAGTATTCTTACATATTAAGGAAAATAATTAAATGAGTATTCCTATATAATTGGAAAAGAACTAAGTTACAGAAAATCTTTTTATGTGAGCCGTCAACATTGACTCACAGAAAATCTTTTTATGGATTCTGTTAATCCCGTTTTAGAAAATTACATTAGTGATAATAACCTTGGATAATTTTCCATTTTAAACTCGTTACTTCACTATATAAAACAATTTCATAATACTAGCAAAGTTGATATTTGCTCATATACTTCATCTCTCATACATCTAGTAAATCAAGTTAGTCCCAGGTTTAATGCTTTCATTTTATGTCGATTAATTTGGTTTCTTAAACAATAGTTTTACATGATTTTTTACTTTCATCCATATAAAAATGAAAACAAGTTAGCCCTCGGTTAAGTGATTTCATTTTATGTATGTAAATAAATTAATTTGGTAGCTTAAACATTAGTTTGGTATATAGATACATATACTTACACATTCCTACCTATAAAATGAATTTATGAATTCAGGCAATGTTGATGCATCAAAGAATTTTTGAACGATTTTTACTGGCGTTATATTTTCTTCTAAGTTACAATGGAATTCAAGGAGAAACAAAATTATCCCAATCAGAAGATCTAGAGATGGAGAAGCAACTTAAACTCTTGAACAAACCGGCGGTCAAAACAATTAAGGTATATCTTTGAAAATTCTTGTGCTTATAATTCTCTTGAGTGATTATTATATTTGTGTTGCAGGAAAAAGAGAATATCTTCCATTCGTTCATCTTTGTCTGTGAAGATAATTTCGGTAGATTAAATATATCTATGTAAATATTTTTTATATATTAAAATGCAACTGTATATTAATTAACTAGAATTTAGTAATAACCATATTTATGAATATATGTTTCATGTAATTTTTGGGTTAATGTAACCACCGATTGTGAATAAATATTTACCTTGAATTCAAATATGGATTAATCACGAGACAAATGGAGTATGTAATCGTTCTATCGCGATATCATTTTGCTAGGTGTTAAATTTGTATGTATTCAAAAGTTACAAATTAAATTGCAAGATATTGTGTAACCAGTATTACTTATTTATGAGTTTTTGGTTCACAGACTATATACGGTGATACATATGATTGTGTGGATTTTTATAAACAACCTGCATTTGATCATCCGTTATTGAAGAATCACAACTTTCATCCTCAGGCATGTCTCTTACCCGTCCGTCTTATATTGAGCTTTCTATTAGTGATACAATATTTGTGATGCATAATTCAAGTTTTATTTTGGATGGACAGATGAAACCTATTTTATCGAGGACAAAGCAAAATTTAGTTACATCATCAACTAATCAGTCGTCGAAATTATGGTTAAATGGAAAAGGTTGTCCTTCTGGAACAGTCCCAATTAAAAGAATTACAAAAGATGATCTTATCAGACAAACACATATGCCACCGCCAGAGGATGTCACATTTGATGTTCAATTGGTTGCGGTAAGATAATGATACACCAATTTACTACTTTAGCTAGAATAACTCACTTCCAAAAAATAAAATCCATAATTCCATTTAAATAGAAGGAGTGTCTTGGCGTAACTGGTAAATTTATAGTCATATGACCAAAAGGTCATGAGTTCGAGCCGTGAAAGACATCTTCTTACCGCCATTTACATAGAATATAACAGGCTAAGAACTCAAATTTACAATAAGAAATATTGAAAAGTTCGTGTATAAAGAATAAACATGTTTAGTTTTTCATAATTTCGAAAATCTCATATCTATATATATTTATTGCCTCTGCACAGACTAATAACAATAGTGAGCCAAAAGGAATGTACGGATCTTCACAAGGATACAAGGTACACGAATATAAACATTCATCTTCTCATTTTCTAGATTGTTGTTTGTTTTGTCTTTTAATTGAATTTATTTTTGAAATAATACCCTAAAAGACTTTTTAATTATTAAATATTGAATTTTGCTTCGCAGGTTTTTCCTTTTGCCTTTTTTATATTTAGCTTTTACATGGCATAAAAACGGTTAAATATGCAAATTCCACAATTTGATTTTCTTATACTAGTAGGCAAATCCTTTTTCCACTTTTTCCGGGCAAGCCCTTAATATTTAGCGCTTTTAATATATTTAGCTGGTAAGTCGAAAATAATTAATACTGCTTGTCAATTATATAAATGTGTGTGTATATATATACACACACATACATTGATATAAAATGTGTATACTATATATTAATTTACAAAATATATATTTTTCGGATATTATTTCGGAGGCGGCTATACAATATAGATTTTACTATTATTTACTCAAAGATAAAATAAATAAAAACAAGGGATAGTTATATTTTTGGGCCGCACCCAATATAATAGTCGGCAATGTATAAATATTGTATATTTAGTATATAATATACATCTAACACACATCTATATATGACGGTATATATTTCGTATATATGGGTTACCGTTTCTAATTATTTTAGACCGTCGAAACAAATAAAAAAAAGCCAAAACTAATATACATGTTAGATATACTTTTGTCATGAGTTGACAAAATTTCATTTGCTACATACAGGTTGCTATAGTTCGGACTGAAAATAATCCAAATAATAAGTTTGCGGGAGCTCAAATGGCAGCTAGTATATGGAATCCTCTTGTTAAAGATCAACAACACAGTGCATGCCGATTGAAAATTCAAAAAGGATCAGATACTATGCAAGTTGGTTGGAGAGTAAGTTCAACAACTTGTTAATACAAAAAATAGTTAATGAATACTCCCTCTGGTCCATAATAAGTGACCAATTCGCTTTGGACATACCCATTAAGGAAATACTAAATTCTAGACGAAAATAGTTAGTGTGACTAAACTACCCTTCATTAAATGTTGCGCCGTAGTTATAGTAGTACTTACTTCTCTTCTCAAATGTGAGGAGTAAATGACTTTTTTAGGGATATGTACATAAGGGTAATTTTGAAAAAACAAATTAAATTTTTTCTTGATTATATAAATGGACACTTATTTTGAACCAAAATAAAAAAATAAATTAGTCATTTATTGTGAAGGGAGTATTTTCTTTTAGTTGCTAAAAGTGGGATAAGGGAAGAAATGGAATAAGGTGAAGGATAGGAAATAACTATATTGTACTCTGGATGCAAGTTGTTAAATCACACCAACAAGGATTAGTGATGAAATGGCACGTACTCTTTTATTAGAAAGCATTTTACTCCTTTATGAGACTTTAATTTTCGGTGTAAGTCTAAATTAAATCCGACCCCAATGTAGTTATCGGGCATCGTATGAGAAACGCCAAAAAGGTATTAAATCACTTTCAATAAGTTTCTCAATCATCACGATTTCTCTATTACATGCTACAGGTGGACCCAACACTGTATGGAGAAAACAAAACTAGGCTCTTTATACATTTTCAAGTAAGTTATCTCAGTTACTTCGATGATTTATATTTTAATATTGTGTAACTAATAATCTTTCTGTTTATCTAATGCCTCAATTTGCATAGCATATATATGACACAATTTTGTATATTTTGTAGGGGGGTAACAAACACTGTTTCAATACACTATGTCCTGGTTTTGTTATAGTAAACACTGAGATACCGGTTGATATGGTATACGATCAAGTTTCACATCGTGGAGATAAAACTTCAATGGAAGACACAATGTCCATCGGTCGGGTACGTTTAATTATTCTTTTCTAGAATTAGTATTGAAATTTAAAAAAGAAAACTAATTTAGACATTTCTTTCTTCACAATAAAATTAGGATCTGGTGAATGGAAACTGGTGGCTTTTCCTTGAAGAAAATCATATTCAAATTGGTTTTTGGCCTCAAGGGATTTTCACTGACTTGACTAGCTTTGCTACTAATGTCGAATGGGGAGGAGTGGTATATAGTCCACCAGGTGTACCAGAACCTCCAATGGGCTCTAGCTTTTTTCCTGTTGAAGAGACTAGTTATGATGCTTATTGTAGAGGACTTGCAGTTTTAAATGATAATGGTGAAACTATTGATGTAGATAAAACAACTACACATGTCGATAATCCAAACTTATACAAGGTTGTTGACTTACCCCATGCGATACCGGGAAAGTTTCAGCATTTTGTACTCTATGGGGGACCTGGTGAGAATGCATAAATCTAGGTATTGTAAATTATTACCGTCATGGTATTTAATTCTGGTTATATATAAAATATTTCACATGCTATAAATACTATTTTCGATATATTTACTTTCATTTTCCAATTCTCAATGTTGGGTTCAATTGTGTGTGTAATATGATTTGGAGTCGACATGACATACTCACTTATAAATAGAATAAAAGTTGAGGCAAAGAGTGAATATATAGGATACCGACTTAGAACTAAGACTTATTTGTTATGAGATTGAGAAGGATCGCCCTAATATCTTTAGCATGATGTCTCAAATTCTCGAAGGTGAAAGATTGACAAACAACAAGAATACACTTGTCGTCATGACATCTGCATAGGAAAGAACTCTTTTGAAAAAAAACATCAGAGCATTATAAATGAAGAGATAAAATCTTACTTAAAAAATTCATTTGTAACAATAAGGATTAAAATGGGAATAGAAAACTGAGGAATTTTACTTAAATCACATTGGAAATGCGACATATAAACCACGTTCACCAAAGCGACTTAACTCGTAGCGACTTAAAAGTAGCATTTGCCAAATGCGACTTATAAATCGCATACAAGGAATGCGACTTATAAATCGCATACAAGGAATGCGACTTATATCTCGTTTTCAAACAAACCATAATCCTAATTAGGAGGCTTAAGTACCCAAATAATACAAATATAAAACAAATTAACAAAACTAATACACATCTTAAAAAGTAACCAAGATAGTGTAGACGCTAACACAACTAACGTTGACGCTTGTAATATGATCTATTAACATAACTAAATAGAAGTAGTATTATTTCTTGGAAATAAATATCAAAATTACAAACATATTTATTAGACTAAAGAAAAGTGCTGATTTTACTAATCAGTCAACCGTAGCATCGATGTCAGTTTCCTTCAACAAGTAGGGGCTGTTTCTTGAAGAAGTAAAAGCAAATCAAAACGAAATCGAAAGATTGGTGGAAAAATCTATAACCATGATCCTGAATCTTGAACTCACCTTTCAAGCCATCCACAAAAAACACGGGGACATCGCAAAGGATTGTTCACTGGAGTCGGTAGGAGTGGCAAACGGGGGTCGGGTCGGATATGGTTCGGGTCGAAAACGGGTAATAAAAAACGGATCAATTATTCGACCGACCCATATTTAATACGGATAAAAAACGGGTTAACCGGCGGATAATATGGGTAACCATATTACCCATGAATTCTTGCATATGATCACTTTTGGGAGAATTCTTATTCTCCCTATCTTGAGGAACCCCTAATTTGAGACTTTACAAATATAAAAGTTAGACTCATTGGTTACTCATTGGTTATTCATTGGTTACTCATTGGTTATCTATTTAGAAATATGGTTCTTATTCATATTTGACCCATTTTTAAAAAGTTTATTATCCAACCCATTTTTTAGTGGATAATATGGGTGGTTAACTGTTTTCTTTTAACCATTTTGTCACCCTTAGGAGTCAGGTTACATGTTGACTTCTGTTGTGGTAGTTACATGTAAGGTTGGTGGAAAAAAAACATTTGACTAAAGTTGATTGTAATCCCTTGAACTTTTATTACTTGGTAGTCAAGGATGCTCAGAAAATTTAGGTGAATGTCAACAGATTGAAAATGATGAGGTTAAATGTCATATTAATTATTGAACAGGCTTCATGGAACATATTGAAAATGAGCAAAAAAGGAGCTGAATTGCAGAAGAAAAAAGAGAGAGCTAACTTCACTGCTATCAAATGCACTAGCCGGGAATAAAATCCGAGTTTGTACCGTGGCAGGGTACTATTCTACCACTAGACCACTTATGCTTCTTATTGAAAATATATTTAAGACGACAATAAGCAAACAATTTGTTTAAGCATAAAGTCATCCACCCAGATTTTGATTAAGTTCATTTCTTTTTCTTTTTTTGGTAATTAGTTAGATTTTTATTACCAAAATTAGAGTTATGTACAATATACAAACACCGAATGTTTTGAATGAGCAATGAGTTTGATTCTAAGTATTCAAAGCAGAGGAAATAGAATATTACATAGCCTATAGCTATAGGGCTATGCTCCGCTCCTCGCTCGAGCTACCAACTTTCTTAGATTTCATTTCTATTGACTAATCCGAGTCCTTGAGAGCTTAAACGTCAGCGGGGAAGAACTCCGAAAGAATTTCATCGGCTCCTCCTCTCTTGCCCTCTTGATGGTATCCAATTGAAATGGTTGCTGGATTGCCCCTAGTTCAAGCTCTAAGTCAAGGACATCAAGTCCCAACCTTTAGTCTAAGCTTAGAAACTAAAATAGCAAAAAGATCATCTCAATACCAAAAGTAATTAGGCTTTGCAATCTTCACCTTCATTGAACCTCTAAAATGGATTTCTTGAACTACCTGTCTTGTCAGTACCTCAATACTCTACTGCTTGCCTTGAAACTGAACACTCTATAATTCCTTTCCATCCACACATGGTAAACAACAACTGCTAGTAGTATTTTGTATACCTCAGCTCTTGGACTGCTCTCACTAGCATATCGCCCGATGTAGTTCATCTTCCCAGACCATTGGATTTCTAGTGGCACCTATCCAGTTGAGCAGCTTCTTCCAGAGTTGTGTACTGGTCTCACAGGTAAAGAACAAATGGGCCAAGCTTTCATGGTCTTGCTCATATAAGGGACAAAATTGATCTTAAGTCACACCCCACTTGAATAATCTATCTCTTGTATACAATCTCCCAAGTGCAGCCAATCTCAACATGAGAATCCATTTGGGTAGACCTTGGTTGTTACACACAAGTTTTCTCCATGCTACTTTCTGGAATGTACCCCTTAACTTTAAGTAAAATTGCTTTGTAGAGAACTTCTCCGAGAACTAGCAATTTAGCTCCCCAGGCCCACTTGGTGTTTGAGCACCACCACCTTCAGCACACTACTAAAAAAAAGTAAAATTTCGTCCGCTATTTCCGACCAATTTTAATTGGTCGGGAAAACGATGGTTGCAAACGTGTATCGACCGAAATCGATCGGAAATTTCAAACCGATGACTGCCTGTCAAACTTTAATTTCCGACCGAAATCAGTCGGAAACTATTAAAAAAAAATTAATTTTCAAATTTCCGATCAAAATCGATCGGAAACTATTAATTTTTTTTTTAATTTTCAATTTCCGACCGAATTCGGTCGGAAATTTTTAAAAATAATAAATTTATTTAATTAAATAATTAGTTGTAAATTGTTAATTTATTTAAAAATAAATACAAATTCATAATTTCCAACCGAATTCGGTCGAAAACTATGGATTTCTGGGCAAAAAAATTAATTTCCGACCGAAATCGGTCGGAAATCTAGGTAAAAACTGGGCAGAAAATGCCTATTTTTGAGCTACACCACCTGCCAATTACAACCAATATCCATCCTATAATGACAGCATTACATTGTTGTCATTCAACCATAATTAATTAACAATGAATATACTAACCACAATAACAACAATAAACTAACAAAAACTATTAACTAACACTAACAACCATTATCTAACAACAACAACAATTAATAACAACCACAACAACTAATAACAACCACAAAAACAACTACTAAAATGTTCAATAACAAAATAACAATACAATCATCATTCAAAACTAGTTTCAACTAAATATTGACAAGTACAATACTTTGTTTAGCAATACACACCATTCAATGAGTGTTTTATCTAGCATCATCTCCATCTTCTCTCCTAGAACCTTCATCGTAGGCACATGGGGAAGGCTCACGAGACCGGGGAATGGGGAAAGCACCACTAGCAAGAAGATTGGCCAGCTGACTTTGAAGGAGATTAAATTGTGTGTCCCTCCTTTCTAGCTGAACTCGAAGGGTACCAAATTGTCCATCTCTCTTTTTATCTCTAGCCTGTCTCTTCAAGCTCTGCTGTCAGCTTTGCAATCTTCTGTTCCATAGACGATATAGTCGACTTATCAATCGCCTCGCCTCGGGCGGAAGTCCCTATACCTTGCAATCCAACCCTGTAGCACCGAAATGATTTATCTAGAAGGTCGTATGCTATCCCCTTTTTAGGACCAACAACAACACCCAACCATATCCTCTGCGCTTCTTCGTCTGAAATGGACGGTCGCTCGCCTTGCTCATTCGGTGGCAAGCTTTGAGTGTACTCCTCCACATTAATCTTGTAACGACCCTTTATTTAGAAGATAGAAAATTACTAACTATATAATATTATAACCATTTATAGTAGTTATGAAACTTACATGTGTAGTCTTCGCTCGGTCCTCGACCCATCTAGTTGGATCTGTCGGTGCCTTCTTCTTCCGAATGTGAGTCTCCGCGAAGAACTTATCATGACTCATCTTCCTCCCATATTTTTTTCCTACAAATATAATAAAACGTGTTAACGAATTAACATATATAAATATAGTTCGATAAAAATAGACCGAAATATTTTAAGGAATTACCAGGTGTTTCCTCGTATCCCCATGCTCCTTGAACCCAGACAGTGCAAGGAGCCACCCTTCTCAGAAGCTCGGGCCTTCTTTCCCAGTTCACTCTGCTTCTCGAATTTTTCGATTCTCCAATACCTCTGCAGATCCTCGCATAAATCCGGTAGAACCCATGAAGGCTTCTTCTTAACCTTTCGAGCGGAGGAGAAGGAATCAGAGAGTCTCTTACGGTATTTGTACTCCCAATTTGCACAAATTTAACGGTTATACCGGTCCTCCCAGACACACTTAGAGTGCATACTCCCTTGTTTTAGTGGACGACTTGCGGCATCTAACTAGTTGTTCATAAAAATATTTTGCTTCTTCATTAGGAGGTTGTTCAACACTTTCGTGGGTTTCAAAATCGAAGTACATCCCTAAGCATCCGCAACCATTTCATGGTATCTCGGATGTTGAACATTATTCCCCACCGACCTACTACTTTCACCACCAACTACGTTATGAAATACACCATCACTACCATCAATCTCTCCATGACAAGTCCACACAAAATAATTATCCATAAACCCTTTTTTATAAAGATGAGTCTTAACATCCTCCGATCCAAAAAAATGCAAACACTTGCACTTCACACAAGGACACCTAATCAACCCTCCAATCCGAAACGGTTCAAGTGACATTGCATGCGTAATAAATTCCTTAACTCCTTCTATAAATTCCTCCCTCAAAAACCGACGATTAGGATAATTCCTATTATACATCCAACTATGATATTCCATCTACATAAAGAACGAATAAATTACATGTTATATTGATTATAATTCAAATTAATTTATAGAATTAAGTTGCATAAGAAACTTCTATAAATTTGGACAAATTTTACAAACATATCTGCACAAATTTGATTTCTACAGAAGGCAGAACATATAACCTTCTTTACAAAATAACCAATAAATGTAATTTGTGCAGTAACCTTCCACTAAATGCATTTACAAGACATACTCAGAGAAAAGAAACGACATCAACTAATTCCAAGGTATGCATCAATTTATAACTAAATGCAATAATTCCACAAAGCAGGCACTCATGATTTATACAATCACAACCTTAAACTAAAATTATCATTCCCAGATGGGAAACATTCCTCTTTCTTTTGGTTGAGCAAAGTGAAGTATTTAGGAAATACTAGTAATTCAATTGAGTTGGTCATAAGTAATTAAGCTGAAGTGGCATGATTTTTATTTAAGATCATATACACATACTGCTATGGTCCTATACCTCTCAAGGATTTTTGCACAGATGTTAATAAGTCTAACATTGAGATTTACAAACAAAATTCACAGTTGACACTATTTCTTTCTAAATAAAACCACAGCTGGCCATTGCTCGAAAATCATCACACAAAATTAAGGAAACAGAATACCATTTAAGCTCATTCAACTGCTAAACAGATTCAACAAAGAAATTAAAGAAAGCGACCAAACGGGGAATAGATAAACAGAAGTGAACCTGAATAGACTTGCGAGAAAAGAAAAGAAAACAACTGCCGGAATCCGACAATCCACCGGAACGGCGACCTCGAACGGACCTCAAATCTACTGGGTTTGGATGGTGCTTTCAAGCTGTTTTTCGCGCTGGTTTTGGGTTGATTTCGGGTCTGTTTTTAGTGCATTTAGGGGCAGCTTTCAACTGGTTTTTGAGGAAGGTTCTGCTGCTCTATTGGGTAGGACAGAGCTGGTTTGTTGCTGCTGCTATATAGCAAAGAAAAGGATGAGTGAGGCGGACAAAGAGAAAGGAGTAAAAAAAGTTAGGAAAAGCTAATTGTAACTATTACACTTTTATACTTAATGTAATTATTAACGGCGAAATGTCTTTCTGGCCACTTAAACTTGTAGGGCTTTTGAAAATCGATATATAAACTTTTGTTTTTCCCATTTAAACACTCAAACTCCTGAAACCTATAACTAATAAACACAATTGACCGTTGATCAATCCCATGTGGCGTCAGTTGGTCCTAGTCAGCCCCTGCGTGATGTCACGACTTTTAGGAGCGTGAGAGACCCCCTTCCCAACGCCCAATGGTCAAAAATAGGGCCTATTTAAGTGGGGTCTTATTCTTTCAATTGGATACATATTATCCCTTTATTATATGCATTTGAAGCTTCATTTCGCCTATTTCTTAATATCTGAAGCTTTCTTTAATTTTTTTTTTCTTTTTCCAGATTGTGATAATGAATCAAAGTCATGTATTTTGTCATTGTGGAGTTGAAGCTCATATTTGCATCACTTGGAAGCCAACAAATCCAGGAAGGAGGTTTTATGGGTGCTCAAACTATGGTCGAGCCAATTCTTGTAATTTTTTTAGGTGGTTTGACCCACCTCTTCCAGATCACTATAAACAGGTGATTTCAGGGTTGTTATCAAGAATTAAAGAGAGAGAGAGATCGACTACAGCGTAGGAAGAGGGTGAAGATCATTGTAACTTTAGTTGTTGTAGTAGCACTAATAATTGTAATTTTCTTCTTAGTGTAGTTAGCACTAACTTCATAACCCTATGTACAATGATAATGATAGAATGAATGATGTATTTTTTTGTGGAATGAAAAGCAATTTTAACATAAACAAGCACACATATATAAACAACCAAGTTCGATCAGCCTTCTTGGTTGACAAAATTAGTACTGAACTGCTGTCTAGTAGCAAAAATAGTTTAAACATTGTTCCAAAGGAAAAGTCATAGTTAAACAGACTTAAGTTAACCTACAAATTAAGTTCTGCAACTAACAGACTTAAGTTACCACAAAAACAAACATTCAGTCAGCTTCAAGGTTGAGATTGGTTGATGTTTTGGTGAGATTGGCTCAAGTTTGGACATGGAGACTGGCTTGGATGAGATGAAGAATGGACTTGAGATTGGCCAAGGCTTGCTTGAGTTTGTCTTCTCCTCAACTGTTGTTGAAGTTGCCTTTGTGATATAGCATTTCTTCCTTACCACCTTAGTCCAGGTGCACTGTATCCAAGATCGATATTGGTCTGCCAAGCATCCACTACTTTTGTAGGAGCAGAATGTACCCTATCTCTTGCTCCACACTGCATAGGAAGCCAAATTAGTACCCAAACTACTAATATATAAATAAAAATTCAAATCCTTAATGATCTTACCCTTTCTATCACTATTCCTGTATCACTAAACAATATACTAAATCCAGTAGTTCTTGGTCTTCCTCGTAGTCCACTACCTCTTGGCCTTCCTCTAACACTAGCTATAATATCCTCAGAAGTTCTTGATCTCATACTTCCAGTATCCTGATGTAAGATAAAGTACTTTCTTGTAATTTAAAAATTTTGGTCCTAATACAGATTAACTAAATTAACTAAAATCAATACTTACAGATGTACTAGCAACAGCTGATGGTTGAGTATTTCTGTCCCTGTCAGTTCCAGAATCACTTGTAGGACCTGATTGTTGAGTTGTTGTTTGAGCAGCCTGTGATGGTTGAGTAGCACCAGCATTATTGGTTCCTGTTGTTCCAGATCCTTGTCCTTTCTGAAATTTCCAAAATAAAAATGAGATATAGAAACAACCAAAGTACAAGACACAATCAGACACAAATTGAATACATTACCAGGATAGGACACCCCTTCTTGTTATGGCCTACTGTATTACAATTAGAGCATGTCATTGGTGTCTCTTTCCTTGATCTCTTACCAGACTTCTTCTTAGGTTCAACTTGAGCTCTTTTTCTATTTTTCTTAGGTCTACCAGGCATCTTGGCAATCATAAGAGGCTCAACAGTTGGATTCTGTGTTGATGGCCACATCTCCATGTTGGTTACTGGCTGTATGTAACAACTAAAAGCCTTCAGGTATGTTTCTTTCTTGTACCGGTGGGTTACATAGTCAGCAGGCTCAAATCTCTTAAAAACATTGCACATATTGCATGGGAGCATGGTATTCCTTTGAGCTGCCATGATCTACATGTGCATGTATTGTTGGAGAAGTCAACAATATGTTTGTAAACCCCATGTTGTATCTCATACCTAGTATCCCCATTCCATTTAAATTCATGCTTAACAGCATATTGAGATTGTTCCTCTATGTACCCCATTGCCATAGGAGATACATTATAAATCCACCTTGTTGCAAATTCTCTCATGGTAGTCATCATCTCCATCACCTTCACTCTAATCTCTTCTTACATGGTTATGATAGACTTGTGCCTAGCAGACAAGATCCAACTGTTAAAGGTCTCACACATGTTGTTCTTTACAGAATCACATTTACTCCAATCTTTGAAGAGTGCTCTACACCAACATTGTTTTGGGTATCTCAACAAGTCCTCAATGATCTTACTATCACCTAATTCTGCTAGCTCATCTATCTTAGCCTTCAAATATGCTTCAAATAAGCCCTTGCACTGGCCCAAAACTTCTTCCTTCTTTCCTCTTCTTTCCACTTTTGTTTCCAGTTACTCCATATGTGTCTTGCACACATTCTGTGCTCAGCATTTGGTAACAACTCAGAAACAGATGCAACAAGTCCCTTAAGCAACAAAAAAATAATTAGAATATCATAAACATATATAAAGTATCGAAGTAATTAAAGGAAGAACATGGGTGTAGTATATACCTTCTGCATATCTGAAATGATGGTCAGCCCCTCACCTTGGAATTCAGTGAGCTGCAGATCATGCATCAGGCACCTAAAAAACCATGACCATGTGTGCTTTGTCTCCTTTTCCACCACTGCCCAAGCAATAGGGTACATTTGGTTGTTACCATCTTTACCAATGCATGATAGTAGCTCACCCTTACACACACCCTTCAGAAATGCTCCATCAAAGCCAATAATATTTTTACACCCTTCCAACCAACTAACTTTGCAAGAATGTAGACAAATATAGATACCCACAAACACCTCCTTACCAGGTATTGTCTCATTGGAGGTCTTCATAACAACAGTGCTGCCAGGATTTGTAGACCTCAACATGTCAGCATAATCATATATTCTAGCAAACTCCTTCTTGTAATCACCAAGATATTGACCCATGATCTGATGTTTAGCCCTAGCACATATAGATTTTCCCACATACACACCATACTTTATCCTAATCAAATCCTGCAACTTCCTAAGCTTAATGTCAGGTTGGTTGATAATCTTGTCCTTGAAATGTTTAGCTACCCATGCTGTATTAGCCATCTTGTTTCTAGTTGCTCTAAAACACTTATGAGCAGGGTAGTAGCTCTTGACAATGAAATTCCCTGCCCAAAATATGTCATCTACATCTTGTTGAGTTCACACATTTTGC